TTTGAGGCAGTAACTCTCTCCCAACCCGCAGGAGGCAATCCACCGCTTTCCGGCAGAGAACCATGGCCTCAGATTTGGAGGTGCTGACTCTCATCCCGACCGCTTCAAACCACCCCAGGTCATGCTGGAGGTCACGGTGTGATGAAGCCAACAGAACCACATCATCTGCAAAACGCAGAGACGCAATTCTGAGGGCGCAACCCGCGTAAAAGCCCTGAGTTGACCCGACAGATCTGAGGCGTCGACATTAAACGAGACATGTAATCCCAAATTCAAACAGAACATCAGGTTCAGACTGATCCTCAGACTCTGAAGATTTAGAAATTCCCCCTTTGTGCAGTTTTACAGCCTGAAGGCTTTTTTTGGATCAACCAAAGCACAAACTGTGTCGTCTGACGCTCACAATCTTTGACATTAGTTCTGAGTTTTCGGATGTAAAAAGCAGAAACACGGCTCTTCCTACACTGAATCTTTTCCTCTCCGTATATAAACAGAGTCTGTGCTTCCCATTCAGATAATTCTGCTTCCTCCCATCCGGACTTCTCCGTCCTCTGACTCATGACCCGGTCATCGGCTGAGGTTCAAGCTCTGAGTGAGGAACCACATGTGTTTCCTCTGAGGAAGCTTTATAAAAGACAACAACCTTACTATCTGTTTACTGATTGGTCAGCTGATGTGACGGGATTGTGAAAGCACAACAGCAGATTAGACAAAGTAGTTTCTGCTTCCTCAGCATGACACTGGAGAGACACTCCTCTCCATCTCTTCTATGTCAGCAGTCGAATTAGAAAGTGAGGACGTCCCATTTGGCGACAACAACCTCTCTAACCACGTTGGCCAGATGGAAAACACCCCCAGTGTTGTGTTTCACAGATTTCTACACAACCAACCAGATCAACTGAAACTATGTCGACATGATCTGAACATAAATCCCAACACATCAAATGAAAACACTGAAAAGGAGCTTCTGTTCTGAGCATTTTGTGCAAGACGGCTATTTTAAAACACAGAAATTAAAACCAGACTTTGGTCTTTTTCCCTATCTTTAAAAGATATATATTATTTCAGTACATGTACGATGCTATCAAACCTGGCAACCCCACAACAAAAGTCATGAGCTGATATAGCTGATATATACCATGATGGAGAGTAAACTGAATATAAAACCCGAAATATTTTATGGATAAAACAACCAGATAGGAACATTTGGTTTTGGCTTCTCCAACTGAAAAGTCAAGATAAAGCATCCTGTAAAACTGAATCCTGTAAATGCAGACTGTCCTTTAAACACCTTCCTGCTCAGTGATTGGCTCTGAGCCGTCCTGCAGCAGCTCAGGTGAGTCAGGTGTGAGGTCGTACCTTGTGTCTGCCGCGGTAAACGTTTGCCGTGGCTCCCTGACCCAGCAGGTCGGAGATGAGCCACAGGTAGTTGGTGGTGCTCTGCATCCTGACGGCTGCAAGTGATGCTGAAAACACACAAACAACTCATCAATAACAGGAAGTGATCGACAACCAGGCTGGAAATCAATCCTCTGTACTTTCCAACACCAGCTGAAATCTATGTGTATCAAAGGGTGGCATCAAATAATAAAATCATCACAGTGACAAAGCTGTAACCATGAGGTGAGGGCAGCTTTACTCGGAAAATTATTTAAACAACTATCTGATTATCAAAATAGTTTATTATTGTTTTTCTGATGACTAACATATGAGCTCAATAAATCACTAAATAATTATTTATTTATTTTATTTTTTCGTCTTTTATAGGTATGTACATATATAATAAATATTACTATACAAAAGTAATACAATTAAAAAACAGATATAAGATAAATTTATATTTTAATTTATTTACTGTTGTATTTATGCATTTTATATAATTTGTTAAGTTATGTCTTTTTTCAATTTGTCATATTAACTCTGATATTTTTCTTATATATTACTTTATTACATTATTTGTAACTGATTTTATTTTTTGTATTGTTTTTTAAATTGGTGGACTGTTTTGCAAAACTATGTTAATGTATATATTTTATTTTTAATTAATTTTTATACATATTTATTGTTTTAATTGTGCGTCCAATATAAATACATTTTTGTCATATTTATTCTGTCATATTTATTTACATTACATATCTAATTTTTTGTCATTTTAATTAATTCATTTTACACCTGTGATTGTATTTTGATTATTTTGGAAATATTATTTTATTTAATTTTAAAACATTTTTTTTTTACATATATTATTAGTAGTAGTATTTTGTGTCACATTTTTTACATATGAATTTATTTAGCATCATTCTTATGTTTATTTTTTTTTTACATATATGATTTTATTTTGTGTAATTATTAATTATATTTTTAACATAAATTATTATCATTATTTTGTGCCACATTTATTTTATTTTACATAAATTTATTCTATGTTTTATTTTTTGTTTTGCAAATTTTCACGTCAAAATCAGAAACACTAATGAATGACTGAATTAGCTTATATACTTTCACTACGTCACCGCGTAATCTGCTCTTGACGTCACGGTCCGTAGGTGGGAAACTCCCGTTTCAGAGACAGAATTCACCGTAACGTGACGATGATACAGCAGATAATTAAAATGCTCTGATTCTATTTAATGTCACTAAATCTGCTGCTCCGGATTCACGAGCCGCCGCATCAAACCCACCTAATTATCTTTAATGAGGAGCTAACAATGACATCAGCTAACATTAGCTCATTAATATATAAACACACCGCGCAGTTAAAGGTTCAGAGATCTCCTGTGTGTTGTATTAATGTCAGTAAATGTGTCTGTTAGCGTGTTGTGCGTTTTATATTTTCACTTTCAGTCGGCAGACATGGACGCTGACTGTCACAGAAATCGGAACTAAAAACACGATCATTTAAACCCGCGTCGTGCAAACAAACTGACCGTATATCTGCAACACGACACCGGGTCCGTGAGCTAACACGCCGAGCTACAAACCGGTAACGGTGAACAAATTATATTTGCGTGTTTTCTCGTTTAAAATGAGTCATTTTTATTTTTGTTTATTTCCTCACCTTTCTTTTCTGCTGCGGAGTCCTCTTCTTCCGCTGTTTCCTGGCCACATGACAGCAGCGGGCCAATCAGCGCACAGAGTGTAGTAAAAGAGGGCGTGGCGAAAGTATCGTGATACTCAGAGGAGCAGCGGCAGGTTAAAAAATATGCGCAGCTCTTACCCTCTAACACAGGTATAAAACAACTTTCAACGCTCGGGTTTTTTTTTTTAATTAATCTTCTTCACCCGTCCCACCTGCTGTCACGTCAGTTTGTAGCGGAATAACAGTTTGTACTGACGTGGCAAGAGGAGCTAAATATGCCAAACTGTGCGCACTCCTGGCTGTTACCAGTTATTACGGTAGCTGCACAGAAACCTGAATCAAAACCTACCTGTCAGTGAGGTGGAACAGGCCCGTTTATATAACACATTTATTGAACACTGCGATAACAAATCTGCAATATAAACATCAAGAAACTCACAAATATAACGGTTACTACAAAGTTTTAGACTGTGTAAATAAGTTAAAACGTTTATCTAAAAAGTATTAAAAACACAGTAGAAAAATAATTTGTGCCTGTTTTCATATAAATTTTGCTCCTACTGTCGTGTTTAATTATTCTAATTTACGTTTTTCGTTTTTCAAATTTAATTATGGGTAATTTTTGTTTGGTTTATTACCTGTATGTTGTTGCTGTAATGTTTGACAGATACAAATAAATAAATACATAATACACAATAAAAGAAGTCATTGCTGCCTTTTCTCATTCAAAGTAAAAACATTACAATCTTTTTTTTTTTAAGTTATGGATTTGTTTAAATTAAGATAAGAAGGAATGACATGATACTTAAAAATGACAAATAAATAAATAATACACAATAAAAACACAACAAATTTATTGATTTCAGTTAAGATAATGAGGGGTGACATGATTCTTACAAATAAATAAATACCCCAATAATACAAAACATTGCTGCCTTGGTTTCTATTCTGTTAATTAAAGGTAAAATTGATCTTTTTCAAGGTATTAAAATTAGAAATTTGTTCAAATTAACATAATGAGGACGGACATGTTTTATATTTTATATATGTATATTTTGTCATTTGAAGTTGACACCATTAAAATTCTATTTCTTTTTATAATAAATATGAATGTTTATTGATTTATTTAAATTAAGATAATGAGGATAACATTTATAAATACATAAATAAAACAAAAAACATTGCACAGGTGAAGTAATATTTTAAGAGATTTAGCTTGTTTCTGCACTGTGTACATTTTAGGTTTGGGAATGTAAATAGTTAAGTTAGTTAAAAGTTATCCTATTTCTTTTTCTGGTTGCTGGGCAACAGAAATAACAATAAAACTGGAATGCATTTTGTTAGTTTTGAATTTAATATTTAAAGTCAGCATCTCAGCTTAGTTTTTATTGACGCATTAGACAAAAATCAGAATATAACCTTTAATTTTTCAGGTCATTTACTTATAAAATTTAATTAAGTTTAGTTTGAGTAGTTTAACAAGAAAAAATAAATAAAAAAACCCAATGAAAATCTTAAAATTTTACTCAAATTCTTGTAAATCACTGACTTCAGTTTAATAAGTGTTCATTAATATTTAACATTTTCATTTGAGTTAATCAGAAATTAACATACTGAGGTTGAGCTTGTTTGTTTTATGTGTTGGGGTAAACGTTTGTTGTTTTGTTTTGTCGTCAAGATAACGGCTCTTTGTTTTGTTGATGAGCTGAGAATTCTAAATAACACTTAAAAAATTGAGTACGAAATGTTTAGATTTTGTTTGACATTTAAAATGCACATTTATATTGCATTTATTTTTTTGTAACAGCAATTAAATTTTTTCATAAATTAGAACATTTAAATCCAAACAGTAGTTGCAACATTTTTTAGTATAAATTCACGCACCCTTCCCCTGAAATATAAATCATCACACAGACACTCATTTTAAAAGTTCACTCACTTTATATTTAACAAAAAGGAAAAAAAATCAGCATTTCATGAGTTACAACAGCTTATGGTGGCAGCTGGATGGGCTGTACAGGTCCATCTGGTACTCTGGTTTACAGGTAAAGCAGTCGTCGTATAAAAACGTACAGTTAGTGGAAATTAAACAAACACGACGAACCCAACGTTGGTTCGTCCTCGCAGAGCACCATGAGAGCAGAACGGATGAAGGACAACAAAAAAACGACAACAAGAACTTCTGTTTTCCTGTCAAAACTCCGATTAAAAAAACCTGGAGACAAAAGTGCTTTAAAAAAAAATAAAAATAAAAATGAATCAATCTCTTTACATTTCAACATTCTTTGACCTTTTCAACCACCTTCGTCACTTTTGTACAAAATGTCCAAAACTCTGAATTCAGTTTGTTTTAACGTCACGTTCAGATTCATACGTTTGATTTGTCTTGTTTTCTCTCTGGTGTCACGCAAATTTATTGTTTTATTATCAAATCTGTTTAATAAGGCTGAGTATCGAACGGAAACACTTGTACCGAGCGAAATGTGTCCAAAACACCGAGGTAGTTAAAATCAAACGTTGATCATAAAGTTCCTGATTTAAGTTAAAAGTTTCAAAATTCAATCAAAATTTCTAAATAAAAAATTGTTTCAAGTTTTACGAGCCAACCATAAATGTGTCAGTCGGCAAATAAAGACATAAAATGCCCCAAAAATAACAAAACTAGTACATCGCTAGCAAATATTAAACAATATTTTATTGGACAGATTTCTCGTACGGCTGTTTGAATTTTCTCTTTTACTACTTAAATTTTAGCTTTTGAGAAATTTGAGTTTTTCTAGAAACAAAAAAGTTTATACTCAGCCCTTTAAATCAGGATTTAGCATTCTTAATGCGCTTTTTTTTAAAATATACTCTCAAAAAGTAATTAGTACCCTTGATTTTTATTGGTTCCCTCAAATTATTAATTTGTACCTTTTAAATAAACCAAGTCCTCTACAATTAATAGTTTTGTCACTCTAACGTTTCAGATTTAAATGTTTCATTAAATCTTAAACACAACATTTCCGACATCTTTGACCTTCCATATATTCCATATCATAGACGTCAAAGATTGTTTCACAGCTAAATACACATTTTTCTGTGATCCTACAGATTTTATTTGGCTCATTAAAACTCTTTGCAGAGACAGAAAATGCTCAGAAGAGAAAAGAGTTTGATTTATAATTTTAAAAATGGTACAAATTATTAATCCCAGGGAACATGAGGTAAACTGAGAGTATAAAAGAAGCACAGTGAGGGAACGATTCACCAAAACGTTCCCGACACCGACCAGACGAGAAAAATCTGAAAAGGTCTCCGTCATCTTTTTTTTTTTGGACTCTTCTAAACAAACCAAACGTCCTCCTTTAACAACTTTACTGTGAAGTTTTGTACCAGAAACAAACTTAAAAAAAATAAAATAAAATTTAAAAAAAAGTCCTGTAAAGTGCAGTCAGAAAATGAGAACGTCTCCCAACAATGATTCTTATAGACTGATGTGAATGTGCCTGAAAACACACCTGGATGTGCAGACGAGCAGTGATTGTACCACAGGTAGCTCTCAGCGAACAGATGTGGACAGATGCGGAAGATGTATGGAGGCAGCAGAGAGCCAAAAGTGTATGGACTCATGATCTGGTCCAGGTTTGACTGGAGTCGTCACTGGTGTTTGGTGGTTTGAGTTTCTGTTCAGATAAATGAGACTTTTTAGATTTTCTGCACAGTAAAACTGCACTGTTAAAAAAAAACATATTACAGAGTCGAAAATCAACAAAGCCAAAGTCCATACAGATAATTTTTTTTATACCTTGTGCACACAAAATATTAATTCTTACAACTATCTTATAAGGCAAAAGTTTCCTTCGGCAAACTAACTGTTACTCCAATATTTAGAGAAAACTTTTGCATCCAAATTTATAATTTGTCAACTACATCAATAACTTTTGCGCCCAGGATAATTATTTGCAGTCAAGACAATAATAACCTTTGCACCCAAAATAATTACTTTACAGCCAAATAAATAATTTGTGCGCCAAAACGATAAATTAAAGAAAAAAATAATGTCAGTTATTGTTTTGTATGCGCACCATTTAATAAATTGTTTGCACAAGATACCAAAAATATCTCGCAGAACTCTGTTGGCTTTGAATAATTCTGTTTCTCGGATCAAATATATTTTTTTGATAAAGACCAGCTGCCATTTTCTGTCTTTAGAGAGTGAGAATTATTTTTATTATTATTTCAACGAGATGATGCAAATATTTCAATTAAATAAAACAAAAGAACACGTAAAGGCTGATTATTAGAGCTGGGTATCAAACATGAATATTTATACATTTTTCGGTTACTGACATATTTTTCCCATTCATGTACGTTTGTGCCAAAATATTTGAGAATTTTGGTTTAATTCAATCTTCTTTTTCTTTTAATATATTCCTCAAAGTAAAAGATCATAAAATGGTATTTAATATTTGTGCCAAAACTGAAAAAGAGGATTTGTATTTTACTTGTATCAAGGATTTTATGACGACACCCAGCTCTAAACATCATTGTTGATATTTGGTGTTTTTTGTTCACAAAAGCAATATTTTAATTTGATATTCCGAATGCCGGTAACGTCACTGCACTGTAAAAAATTACATATTACAGTGTCATTACAGCGACATTATTTGACTTGGATAATTCTCACTTTCCAGAATTTTATCCAGAATTTCTTTTAATTAAAATGTCTCATTAAGACAGATGATATTTGTTTGTGCTTTGAATGATATGATATTTAAAAATGGAGCCACAGACACGTCGGACTGATGAAATAATAAAAGCGATGTGTAAAACATTGAGATTGTCAGATTCATGCTGGTGTTATTTTTCTCAGAAGCTCAACGAGAAACTGAACAACACGAAGTTAAAACGTGACGATTATCAGATGATGCAACGGGTTATCTTGAAAAATATATTTCTGGTCGTCACAAGAAGCACAAACACACAAACAGATTTACAAAAGAAAAAAAAAAACAAAATTGATTGTTGACTCAAGGCAACAGCCGCCTCATGTTTTCACCTCTGGTCCCAACATCTGCTTCCACTTTGTTTACAGATTCTTTTGGCACAAACAGCCTTCAAACATGAACAGACACTAAAAACCTGGATATGTTCTTCTGATCTGAGATTGTCGCCGAACGTTTGGAGTGAAACTCTGTAGAAAAATATAATGAGGCAATATAAAAAAAGACGGAATGAAAAGTACTGCAAGAGTTCAATGGATAGATTTACAATGATTTTCTATATAGCTTATAAATACGTTATCTACACAATATGTGGTACAAAAATACTATATAGCATTTAGTGGGCACTGGTTTCCTTTGTGTTTTTTTTCCTCAAAGTAACAACAACATAAAAAAAAAACGTAATGAAGACGTGGAACTGGTCAGGCACAAGATCGTGTTCATGGTGGGAAACGCTGCGTCCTCCACAAAGACTAAAAACAGAAAAGAGTTGATGTGTTCGCTGTGCAGCTTTGGGTCGATTCACTCACAAACACACAAGTTGCAGTCGAGCATCTCAACGAGAACAGAACATGTGAAACACAAGCGTACGTTTTGGTTTAAATCCCGTCTGAACATCACGATGATTGGAGGACGTGAGTCATGTGACATCTGATCTTTAACATCTAGTGGATAATGTATGTTTTAGTGTTCTGTATGGAGGCCCTGAGGGGACAAACGCAAGAACTGGTTTCTAGTGGAGATGCCAGTTTTGGTTAATTTTGCTTTCAATAGCCAACGAATATTAATTTTAAAAGAAAAAACAAAAATAGAAAAAATAATGTCAAATACAAGCGACCTTTCCTTTTAGTCCGCTGCTACATTGACCTAGCGAGCGTTAGTGCCGCATTTCAAAGCGCTATCTATTTAGAGGTGAAATTTTAATATCTCATGTTTTTTTTCTGTTGGCTTTGCGGACAGACAGCTAGCTGCGTGAAGCACAGCGCTCACAGCCCACCCTTTGGTCTCCACTTGTTAGCCATCGTTAGCCTAGCTAGCAGAGCTGCTTATTTCAGTATGTGAAACATTGTGGCTACCCTCCAAGCACAACGTGATTTTGCCAAGTAGTACATGTTCCTGAATCAACATCCCTCATGACGCTCCTGGACCAACATTTTTATCAACCAATCACAGCCCTCTGACATCATTAGTGTGCTGCTCCTGTGCTTCTTTTAAAATTCCTTTGTGCTTCTTCAGAGCCAAGCTTCCGAAATTAAGTTAGTAAAACTGAACAAAATCCTCAGTAATGAACAAAAACCCTGTAAGCTACTGCAGGGTTAGTGAGCTAGCTTGCTAACTAGGTTGGCTACGCTAACAAGTAAGCTTACCAATAGGCTAGAATATTAGCGAGTTAGCTTGCTAACTTGGAAGGCTATGCTAACAGTAAGCTTGCCAATGGGCTAGAATATTGTTCGCTAACAAAGAGCTGCATTAAACACACTTACCCTCCTTTATATAGCTTATTAAATCCTCACTCGTTAGCATAGCCTACCTGGTTAGCAAACCTACTCGCTGATATTCTAGTCTATTGGCAAGTTTACGTGTTAGCATAGCCAGCCTACTTAGCAAGCCAACTCACTAACCCTGCAGTGGCTTAGAAGGATTTTGTTTCAGTGTGCTAACTTCAGTTTGAAAGACTTGCTTAGCTCTGATGAAGCTCAAAGCACATTGATGATGTCAGAGGGCTGTGATTGGTTGATTGCAGTGATGGTACTGGAATGCGATGTGGGATGTTGATCCAGGAGCATGTCCTACTGAGAAAATTCACGTCATGAGTAAGCGGTTTCATTTGGAGCAGCGTAACCCAATTAGCATTGTTGTTAGCACCACTAGCTGTGCTGTCACTGCTACTGGTGCTAACAGAGCTAACTGATGCTAAAGGGAATTTGCAGCTCAAAATTGAGGCGCTTACTCACCAGGGTGACGTGGGAGGAGACTGGAGGGTGGGCACAATGTTTCCACAGCAACACAGTTGGGTCAAGTTGGCGTCACTGGCAGTAACCACTTAATGCATGGTGCCATTTTAGCTAGCGCCCACAAACTGAAGAGCAGCAGAATTAACCCACAGACGACATGAATAACGGTCAAAAATATGCCCGCTAATTAACCGTTAACATCTCTTGTTCATAGCATACAAAAACAAACCAAGAAGGCCAATTGTCTTCAGACTTCCTGATAAGTCTCTGAAACATTTTGTCACTTCAGGGCCTCCGTAGAATTTTATCAAACTTGCTGTCTGATCCACCGCAGCCTCATCATCACTCTCAGAGCTGCTCCTGCTTTGATTGATCGGGTAATAAATATGTGCCTTGTCGTGTTATTGCTTCCTGATTGGTCACATGACTCACCTCCTCATCAGACACGATCTTACGAACCGTTTCGTAACTGAGGAGGTAAATTTAAAAATCAAAGACCCAGTACCACGTTCTCACACGGGCCTTTCTCCAGTTTACATGGTAACTACAGACACTGCCGGCCGAGCCTCCGGGGGGCGCTCTTCCTCTTCTTCTTTTTCTCCTGTAGATGTTTTTCATATTTGGCATCAGATAAGTTAAAACGTCCCGCTGTGTGCTTTTTGTCCTTCAGCCTCTTTTTCTCCTGGTTTAAGGCAACTTATATTTGTGATGATTTTAATAAAACCTTTTTCTTAAAAAAATGTACAAATTTCTTAATACAAACCTCTATGGCATCATCAGTAAACACTGTATAGAAAATATATAAATATGCTTTTTCTCTTTTTCAATGTACAAATGTTCTGCAGCTCCTGTTTGTTTCCTTTTCTCGTCCTGCGTGTCACTCCTCCTCCTCCTCTTCATCAGTCTCCCATTTTTAACCTCATATATGCACAATTGCTATTTACAGTGAGGGGGGGTGTGGAGCTGTGCGCAGAGGGGGACTGTGGGGGGCTCACGAGGAGTCCGTGCAGGGCGAGGGTGGTGGCGGGTAGAGGTGGTGGGAGTAGCTGCGCTCGGTGTAAGGCGACGGCGGGCAGCTCTCGCAGTTCTCCTCCGCCGACAGGTACTGGCTGCGGGGCGTCGGCGGCGGCGGGAAAGGCTCCGAGTCGTAGTTGAGGTCGCTGGTGTAGCCCTTGCCGGCGGTGGTGGAGGCAGCGTCGCTGGACTTGAGCGGCGCCCGGCGTCCCGGCGTGTAATCGCTGTCGCACACGTCGGTGCTGCAGGGGGTGGTGGGAGGGGCAAAGTGGCGGTAGGTGTAGGGCCGGTAGCTGAGAGAGAGGAACACCACAGAAGAAAGATTTATTAATTCACAGCCCAGTTTCATCAAACTGGTGTTGACGTGGAGAAACTTCTGGAGACACAGCTGGATGTTTAGCAACAAAACACCACGTAAATTATAATGTTTAAACTTTGCTTATTGTCCAGATTAATTGTCCGATGTGGCGACTTACACACGTGTAAATATTAAATATATTCCTGGGTGTTCCAGCCATAGAGTGCATTCAGCAGCTTTATACATCTAAAAAACTGAAAATAAATAAATCAGCTAAGTCTAAAGCTGATGGAGCCGACTCTGACTCATACTGGACTCAAACCTTGGCCTCCTCTGTGAAATTCCTGTGCTTAACCCACTCGTCCACCACGTCTTCCTCCCACCAGAACTTTCTGGCACTTCACTTGTGAGTTATGTCTCGTACATTTACCACTTTAATCTCAGAGAATATTCGAGATTGGTGAGCACTAGCCCTGACCATCACCTCTTTGCCCTTATTTTAACAGTTTCCTACCTCAACACGTCAACGCAATGAGTCTTAGCCAATCACAGCACACAGTAGGATCCTTAATAACATGTCACAGGGATGGATGTAAATAGTGAAATATCTGCAGTGTGAATTTTCTTCTTGTTTTCCCTTCTGTGTAATTCTGCTAGCATTTTCATCTGAAACTGATAATGGATTAAAACCCAACAATTTTCAGGCAAAAACAAAGACGAGTTACATTTACTGTTGAGGAACTCCAGTTATAATTAACAAACAAAACAGACACTGAGGTTTGTGTTCAACCAGTCGGACGTAGTTCCTAGACCAGGGGTCGGCAACCCTGACTATCAAAAGCGATGTTTTAGTCACAAAATATTAATAAAAAAAAAGATCTGTGTGGAGCTGTAAAACATATTTGAGCCTTATTTGGCATCCACAGCTAACCAGCTAGGGAGACTCAGGACGAGCCGCTGCATCAGGGTTTGGCAGATTTCGAGGAAAAGGTGCCAGGCGACGCAGTTTGTAGATTTAGTTGTTGAAATGCTTAAGCGGTTTTTTAAATTTGGTACACAGGCTCCACATTTTTACAGTTAGAGAATGCAAGAATTTCTTTGGGCCTATAACACTGTTATATGAAAACTAAAATGTAAAAACAAAGCCACAGGAAGCCACTGCAGAGGTGTTAAAGAGCCACAGGTTTCCTCCCCGTCCTGCCCTCAGAGCGGACGTGTGTGGGTCAGTAACTAAATCATGACCCTGGTTCCACTGGTGGAAACTCAGGTGAAGTTCTTCTAAAGTTTCTGTGATGGAAACAGTTTCAACATACTTTCACTTTTTCTGTATAAACTAAACTTCTGGTCTCAGATGAAGATACGAGAGGAGCTCATGGTTTGTTTACAGAGTTCAAAGTAAACAGGAAGAAGCTGTTTGTCTCCGACTGTTGTAGATGCAGACTGATGACATTAAATCCATTTACTCTGTTTTATAAACACACATGATGGAAAACTGAAGCATTTAGTTTCAGTTTGACTGATTGTCAAAGAGAAAACTTTAACTTTACAATGAATAACGTGATGTAATGTGTGTGAGTGTGAGTTACCTGTAGGATCTGTGTGTTGAGGGACTGTTTGAAGAATAACCAAACTCCATAGTGTACTGAGAGCGGACTGTAGCAGGAGACGGAGGAGGGTTCAGGATCTGAAACACAACAAAATCACAACAATTAAATAGTTATAATTACTTATAATTTAAAGTTAGAATTAAACTACCCCAGGAGACATCAGATTATCATGATAATTAAATCACTGAGAAATTAGCAAGAATAAAAATGTGCACTGAAACTTTATTCTACTGATCCACAGTTTCAAAATAAGTTCTTGAATGTTGTCTGAAAACAACTCTGAAATTTTATTTTAACAAAAGAGAAAATGAAGACGAAGTTATCAGACTTTGTTTTTTGATTCGTTGATAATAAAGTCGTAAAGAAGCTGTAAATGTCTAAAACATGTCGTCCTCTCACCGGAGGGAAGTACGTCCCCTTGGTGCTGGACGAGCTGCTGGACGAAGCTCCCGTCACGTGAGCTCGGTCGTACGGAGGTCCGCTGCTCCCGCCCATGATGCTGAGGGAGCCAATCACAGACTTCCCTCTGGACATACCTGTTGGTTTATAGACAGATGTCAGCTTCACGTTTATTAAATAATCTACGCAGGTACGAGGTGACGGACGTGTCATCCCACCTGGCAGTGAGCTGGACAGCGAGCTCGGATGCGGCACGTATCCCAGCGGCACTGACGACGGCCCGTGGACCACAAAGTCGTTGGTGACCGTCTCGCCGTCGTCTTTCATCTGCGGGCAGAGGACGCGCTGACACACGAAGTACACGGCGCCCACCACGAACAGCGCCATGACGACGCCCACGATGGAGCCGATGGTGTTGTTGGACGGAGGAGGAGGCTCCTCTGTAGGATCTGAAACCACAGAAGAAGAGGAGCGACTTTAGAACACAACTGAATGTTTTATAAAAGATGATACAGTTTTCTGTTCAAATTAGTAATAAAAAAATTTGATTTGCTGAAAGTGCGACTGATGGGATGTTTGTGAGACTCACAGCAGCCGATCTCGTCAGAGTTGTCAGTACAGTCCATGTTGTGGTCGCACTTCTTGTGTTTACCGATGCACTGACCATTAGAGCAGGTGAACTGGTCTGGAGGACAACGTACTGGGAGACAAAAAGAAATCTATTATAACTTCTAAACCCTTGTGATGATGCTTTTTCTTTCTTCTATAAGAGTTCAGTCAAAGCTGTGTTGATGCTCCACGTAAACTAAAACAAGGTGGTCGGTCCAGGTGAAAGTCACCTGTCTCACCTTCACACTTGTTCTCGTCGGAGCGGTCCTGACAGTTGATCTCTCCGTTGCAGCGCAGGCTCTGGTCGATGCACTGCCGGCTGTCGCACTGGAACTCGGTCTCGGAGCAGATGGGACAGTCCTCCTCGTCGCTGCTGTCGTCACACTCGGGGTAACCGTCGCACCTCCAGGCCTGAGGGATGCAGTCCACCTCACCGGAGGTACAGGAGAACTGCTCTGGGGAGCAGGTGGGAGGCTCTGAGGGGGGAGGACACATGAGACGGTCAGAGTCTGCACAGGAAGAGGAACGTTTGAGCCACCTTTTTGCCTGTCTTTAATATCTTTAAGTATCCCTTTAATACAGAGCTCTATCGTCACATATCCTCCTTTGTAAAACATCTGGCGTAATCAGTGACGACACCAGTGTTGCACTGAGTTCATTCACTGGTGGGAAAACTTCCTCAACGTAGGTGTGTTTGTTTCTCACCTCCACAGGAGAGCTCGTCCTGCAGCAGCACCAGGTGGACGGGACACGAGCAGCGAGTCGTCCCGTCTCCCTTCACGATGCAGATGTGGGAGCAGCCGCCGTTGTCCCAGGTACACGGGTGTTTACCTGCAGGGACACGCAGGTCAGGTGAGAAACAACTGAAGATACATGAGAAGTTGTTTTGTTAAACATCTGTTACAAGTTCAGACGGCGGTGTCCTACAAATTTAAACGCTGAAACATGACACAAAACATGGGGGACCAAAATAATGACACCACCGAAGAAGAAAGGTGCCCTGTCCCATGCTACAGCACTGATGACTCACTGTATTCTCTCATGTCCAGCTCGTGGACGGCGTGGATGTCGCTCAGGTAGGCGATGCGAGCCTGGATCTTGGTGCGTCCCTCCCTCGTCGTCTTGTCGATGCGCTCGATCATCTGCTGCTGCTTGTCGATCCAGTACAGGTGGTTCCCGAACACTGTCAGACCCACCGGCTGCAGGATGTTGGAGTCGGCGATCACGATCCGATTGGCTCCTGATTATTTTATTTTTTAAAGCACCAGGGAAAAAACAAAACAAGGTTGTAGGGCCAAAACGTTCAGGAACAGAGGCAACGAAAACGGGTGAGAAACTGAGGGTGAGGCAGGAGGGGAGGCAGGAGGACAGCGACACACCGACGTCAGGCAACACATCATATACTGCATATACTGACATTAAATATGGTTCAGTGGAAAAAGTTAAACTCTAAAACACCAGAATATATTTGACATATTGTATGTATTATACTCAAAGTGCTGCTGAATCTTTGCTCTGAGGTTGTTGTCTCGTGGCTCTCAAGAGACGAACATTTCAGCAACAGACATACGATTAGATTTTGCCAGACTGGGGATCTAACAGGGTCACTATTTGCAAGTCCACAACTAGATTCCTTTTGAGATTCTTCCCCATACTGCTCCTGGTGGAAAATATTTAGCAAAACTTCTTAACAATTCCTTATGTATCTGAAAAAGCACAGGACTCTAGAAACACAGGATAAAAGATGTCATGTGTCGACGGTATTCTTGTCAATTCGGCATCAATATAATCCATAAAAATAAACTGTATCTGCGTAAAACGTTACATTTGGACTTTGTCTTCTTGACTTGCAACCAGCCTCAGTTAGTTAGCTGAATGATTTCAGTTGGTTGCTACTTCCTGTTTGCTGCTGGAGAGCGCACAGCTATTGGTCGTTGATTAGTCCCTCCAGGATGTTGTGATTCAGTGAACAGTTAATGCAGATTCAGCCAACCTGTGTGAATGCTGCATGACCTAGCAGTCGCTGCAACTTTACCATTTGAAATTTGCTCAGCCTCTCTTCTTTGCTGCAGTGGGAGTGTGAGCTCTGTGCCTGGGACAAAGCCACATACACACAGTGACAGGGCTAACTGTTAGCATCACATGGCTAACGTTACCAAACAGTTATTAATGAGTTTAATGACAGAGTTGAGCCGTTTTGTTTGGTGTCAGTGTGACACTGTTGGGACTGAGCTCGGTGTTGGATGTTAGCCGATCAGCTGTCAGCCCCCACTCACACTCCTACCATCACAGATAGATACTAATGCTCGTGATAATAGGCATCAAACTCGGGACAGTGCAGCAACTATTTTTGCAATTTCACAATTCCTTTGCAAAAAATGCCAATAAACACTGCAACATGCATCGCAAATGTTTCTCAAACAACGGCCATGAAATCATTCCTGGAGGAACTGTCTGATCTCGTCACTGTTTGCATGAGCCGAGGCTAAAAACTTAACAACAATAATAAGCATGTTTGATTTTGTTGAAACATTAAGACGAGAAAAAAACTGACATAAGAAATTCGAACTGAGTTTTATGATCACCTGACGCCAAACAATCGAGACCAGGGAGCGCCACAACTCTATCAAAACTTTAATGACTTTACTCTGACATTGGAAATTTGCTTGCAACAGTGAAATCGCTTTAAAAGTCATTTGCTGTAACACCGACCTAAGATATTGTTTGGATAAAATAACCTTAAAATTTTAAATCATAAAATGAATTAAAAGTGTTAACTAACCTTGTAAAATAAATACCTTAAACAGAACAGTTTCTCTCCGACTTTCTTTAATGTAAATCAGGTCAACTGAGAATCCTAAACAGCAACATAAAGTCTACAAACTTCCTATTTCAACACGCTTTCAGAAATAACTACCGAGTGAAAACTGAAGTAACTCGAAACTACACAAGTGTCTTAAAACAAGGACAAATTTGGCCTTTTTTGGTGTAAAAACATTGAGTGTTAAATACAGTTAAATATCTGTATCAATGGGGAAAACTGTTGAGCCTGTTTTTTTGCCCTCACACCAACATGCTTATCTGCCTGATCTCAGATCTCCTGTCAGTTTATTGTAGTGCTGTTGAGGCTGTTATTAATCAAATGCCCTGATGGGGGCAGCAGCCTCCGCACTGTGAGCTCAAGCAGCCGCTCAGACTAAATCTAACCAGGCTTCCCTGCAGAGGATCAAAGAGGACGACGGAGGCCGGGTCGAGCTTTAAACCGTCTTCAATCCTGAATCAGAAACATGAAGAGCAGCTCAGGATGCAGGCCTCCTCTGAACCCTGCGCCTGACACTGTTTACGTCCTCCTCCGTCCTCTCGTACAGATGGTTTACATTCCTGTCGGCCTGCGTGGGGCTCCGGAGAATCACAGGAATGTGCTGAGCTCGGGGCTCCACGCCAACTTCCCCTTTCCAGGCACAAAAACTCCCCCGAAGTGTCCTTCATGTGCTCTGTTCACACATTTACTCCCTGACTCTCCTCCTCAGTGTTCAAACCCCCAACAACCAGACACACAGTCAGACCTCCACCCACTGAACTGCTCACAGAAACTTCTTCAAACTAAACTACCAGTGTGGAGTTTTTCTGATGGATTCAACAGTTCAAATGCATCTTTAAAGAAAGTTTCTCCCGCTCGCCTGTATATAAAATCAGACTACTACATCACACACTATGAAACTCAGTCAGATACAAACGTCCTAGAGTTTAAAATGAATCCTCAAACTGAGCTGAGTCTGCTGAGTTCAAATGAAGGTCTGCAGTGAAAAGAAGCAGCAAACTTTGGCTCCTAGTCTGAAGATGTTGGTCAGTATGAACTGTCTCATTAATATTTCAGTTTCAGAGAAGTTTAGAGAAATGATCTTTACCTCCATCTGTACTCAGGGCTCATTGTTGTACGCTTAGCATTAAAACATCTGTATGTGCATCACTATAAAAAGTCAGATTATAAACAGCTGCGTTTCTTCTTCTTACGAGTTTGAGTTATTGCGACTAGAATATTTATGTTGTGAGAGTTTGCCAAGAAAAGCAAAGTTAATCAAAAGAACAAATAATTCAAAGGTTAGACCTAATAAATAAATAAATAAATAAATAAATAAATAAATAAATGTGTGTAGTTTTTGTTAGTAATAAAACGTTGGACATTTAGTGAAACCCTCTTCTTCTCTTTCTCTCTAAAGTTAAGTTTATATTTGTGCATTGAATAGATTCCATCTCTACGTCGTAGCCTGACGTGCACCTCCCCAGAAATGTAACTACACGTCGCGGTGACGCAGACCTCCTGTCTGTCTCTGTAAGCTGAAACCATTTCCCTCAGTGGAAACAAAGCTTTTATTTACTTTAATTTCACAGATAAACAATAAATTGTGAAGACAATAAAGCCTCCACAAAAATAGCATTTTAAGTCTTGTGTGTGATTTATCCTGGCTTCATATGAGCAGAGGAAAGTATGCTAGCCACCAGGCTAATCTATGCAATGTAAAATGCCATAGACTTGTACTGATAACATTAGCATGTTATATTTGTTTGGAAAACGTGTTTAGTATAAGACAGTTGTTTTGTCAGTGAACCTTGTGAGTTGTAATGGAGCTGAATTTAGTAACGTTACCTTTGTTAAATGTTGCTGTTGTCCCTGGCTTCATATGAGAAGAAGAAAAGTCCGCTAGCTGCTAGGCTAATTTATACAATGTAAAATGCCACAGGCTTGTGCTAATAACGTTAGCATGTTGTATTTGTGGGGAAAAAGTGTCCAGATAAAGACAAGTGTTTGTCAGAGAACCTGGTGAGTTATTGAGCCAAATTCTGTAACATTTCTTTTGTTAAATGTTGCTGTTTCCAGCTTTATATGAGTAAAGGGAAAAGTCTGCTATTCGCTAGGCTAATTTATACAATGTAATATGCCATAGACTTGTGCTAATAATGTTAGCATGTTGTATTTGCGTGGAAAATGTGTCCAGTATAAGGCAAACGTTTGTACTTTTGTTTGATGGTGTCGCTATAAAGCCAAGTTTTAGGTTTGTTTCAAGTGTGTTAGTAAAATGAATCAAACTTTTTTTTTTTTTAGTTTTTTTTTTTTGTCCTTATTATGGTGCTGCTGGAGAGTGACAGGTAAGTGGGGAGTGACGGGGGATGACACGGAGCAAAGGGCCACAGGCTGGATTTGAAACCCGGCTGCTGCAAAGGATTCAGCCTCTATGGAGCACTACCAGGTCAGCTACAGGTCGGCTCAAATCAATGAAACCTTTCTGCACATCACAGAGACTCAACATAGTGCGATGGAAAATCTACTCCAGCGACACAGACACACCATCACAGGAGAATAAATGCTAACAACAGCGTAGGAACCCTCAAAAAAATGTGAATTTCCATTTTCACTGGTTTTTGTTCAGATTAAATAGATAAGATATAACATGTTACTCAGAGTGTTAGAGAAGCTGGCGGTGGATTTTGTTAGCAGCAGGCTAGCTGGTTTCCTTTTTCCAGTCTTCATGCTAAGCTAAGCTAACCAGCTGTAGCTTCATATTTACTGTAGAGACATGAATGATATCAATCTGAACATCTGTGTCTCAGAGACAAAAAGAAGAAGAGAATTTACCTAAATGTCAAACTCTTCCTTTGAATTTCTGCACATCAGTATTTTTGTCTATGTTTCCAGCTTTATTGATAAAATGCTAACGTAGATATGTCAGTAACAGTCACACAGTCATGAGCTCGGGTCCTTGGGACAAACTATACTTCAGTTTTTCGTTCAGCAAGTCAACTACTTTGGTTCAGTTTTCCACTCTTTTTGAAGTCTTTTAAGGACTCAACTGGAAAATAATACAGAGAACTTTTCTGAGATATAAACTCATTTTTAAAACCTGATTATTTCTCGGTGACAAACCAGAAGTCGTTTCACCCTTCAGACTCACCGGAGAGGTCGCTGCTCTCAATGCGCCGCAGGTCCGAGTCGACCCAGAACAGCTTCCCCACCTCGTTATCGATGGCCAGAGCGACAGGTTTCCCCAAACCGCTGAAGAACAACACCTCACGCTCCGTCCCGTCCAGCGCCGCCCGCTCGATCTTCGGAGAGCGCTCCAGCAGGTTGGTGAAGTACATGTACCTGCAGCAGAGAGCAGTCTGTTATAACTGTGTTTCTGGTTCATGCAGCTCATCTCAACAGTTTCTGATGTTTGTTTCTGGCGTGTTTTCCTCCCCGAACATCTGCAGACTTCATTTCTCAACCACACAATGACCCAGAGATTACTGCGCGAACCCCAGCCCGAAGGAAACCCTGCAATTATGGTTCCAAACAAGCGACTCGGCACCACCGAGCTGCAACGGGCTTCAAGAACTTCACGAGCCCGAGAGAATAAACAACAAGAACAAATTACCGTGTGATTAGAAACAAGACGCAGATGCTGAGGAGCAGAGACACAAACCAAACGCTCCTCAAGTACAGGAGTGTTTCTACCTGTGTGTGTCTGAGGTGTGTGCACAGTTCACAGAGCAACATCTGAGACGCTTTCATGTTTCCTGGAACTGTACTTAACACCACTTTAACTACAGGAAGAAATCTGGCGAATAAATTAACAGGAAATCTTTGGGTGAAAATTGTGAAGTTGATGCCAGTTTCCCAGTTCCTTTAAACTGCCTTCATTCATCCATTTATCCTTCATCCATGTTTTCCTTCCTCACAAGACTTAATCATATATACGTTATGTTATTAACTCAAAGAAAAACTTAATTTAACTAATTGATTATGATGTTTTCCACAATAACAGCAGAGTAACAGAACAATGAGTAATGCTGTGTAAACACTAACAAGGGTCTAACTCTGTGATCATGTCAGAACGTGTACTGGTGTCTACGGCTTAACGTGAGGAAGCTGATGTGTTTGTGGGACACTGACCCTCTCTCCGGGTTGACCACGATGGCTCTGGGTTTGTCGTGCTCTCCTCTCAGCACCACTCCGACCCTGCTGCCGTCCGTCCGGGTGACGTTGATGACGTTGGTGACCTCGCTGGTCCAGTAGATGAAGCGGCTGTAGATGTCGATGCTCAGGTCGTACAGCTGCAGACCCTGGCTGGGTCCGCCCAGAGAGCTCGACACCACTGTCATACTCTGACGGACGAGAGCAGAGACACAGCGGGTTAGGAGACGAGACTACTCACAGTTTTTATCTGACTGCTTTAACAGGAAACAGTTCTGGTTTCTGGTGTTTCTGTACCTGGTTGCCGTCCTCCTGAGCGCGGCGGATGACGTTCTGCTTGGAGTCGATCCAGTATAGCTGTTTGTCCAGCGGGTCGTAGTCGATGGCTCGGACGTTCCTCAGGCTGTGGATCGGCAGGATGATGTCTGGACTCTGCTGCTCGTCGATCACCATACGGTTGATGGCTGTTTTCTGGCTGAACAGCAGGAAGGAAGTCGGAGCTGGAGGACAAACAAAGAAGAGGACACGTTTAAAACACGTCTGTGGGCAAGACCGTCATTCTCAGTGGGGTAAAAGGAATTGCCGCCTCACCGCTGCACGTCTTGTTGTCGTAGTTGAGAGAGAAGTGGGCGGGGCAGCCGCAGACGAAGCTGCTGACGGGGACGGCGAGGCAGAGGTGTGAACAATGCCCGTTGGTGGAGGCGCAGGCGTTCCAGCCGCCCTGTCTGGACGAGTGAAACACCAGGATGTCCATGACGTAGTCCAGGTGGCCCTGGATGACGGTGCGGTTCTGACCGCTGGTCTTGTTGGCTCGCTCGATGCTGCGCTGGCTCCAGTCGGTCCAGTAGATGTAGTCCTGGTACTGGGTGAGGCCGAAGGGGTGGGGGAGGTCGTCGGCTATCACCTCACGGTCCTGACCTGCAGAAATGAAAATAGGAGAGATGATCAGTGTGTGTGTCCTTCACATATCTCTAGAACCGTTCACCTGATCTGCTTCAAACCTGGTGAGAACATCGCACCAGGCTAAAGGACATGTAGTGTCAAATTTGGCGCAATTTGGACACGCAAAAGCTCAACAAATGCTTCAGGACTCGGAGAAGTTTTCTTCTAAAGATTTCTGTAGGAGCAGTAAATCTTTTGCTGCTGAATGCTGGCGAATCTAACATTATAACCGAAATCTTCACTTCCCTGGAGTCAACGATCAGAAGCCACTCTACTGTTGCAAGAAAATGACGCCTATTTGGAAATTAATACCTCTGCTGTCACCCGTGTTTCTGACCACGAGTAGCCCATGATGGTTGTGTTTTTCAGGGGTGGATTTCCGTCAGTGGGAGCAAACCTTTTATCAGTTTTCATTTGAAAAATAAGTAATACATTAAGATGACAACAATGCCCCAAAATAGCATTTGAAGTGTAGTGTGTAATTTATTTTTCCTTTTATTTTCAAATTAGTTTTTTCAATATTATCACTGTTATTATTTAATTTTGTTGAAGTTATTAATTGTTTTATTTTTAAGCCTTTTTAAATTAATTTTAATAACACTATGATTATTTCTCGAAATCACTCCATGTACTGCATAGAGATATTTACCTATACACACCGTTACATCACTGTATTTTATTAAATTTTTCTCATTTATATTACCATTTTATCTTCGTTTATTTTTGCAATTATTTTTAATCATAATTTATTTATTTTTTATTGTTTTACTTAATTTTTATCATAACTATTATTATCTCTCTATAAAGAGTGATTTACCTCTGAATATTTACTTATCCAGAAATGGGCATGCTCTGAAAATGTCATTAAATAAAACTGTAAAAATAATAATAATAAAAGAAAACACCTTTACAGCATGTAATGTCTTTTTAGCAGCATCAATTTAAAGTTTATGCTGTAAATATCTTTATATGGACAGTTTATCACAAAATTTGGAGTCTGGAGATTCAAAGCCTCACTGAATTATTATATTGATGTATATTGTTATGTTTGTTTATAACGCGGACCAGAAATGAGTCCATAAATAACTGAAGAGAAAAATAAAACAAATCTATAATTTGACACGTGCGCCACACTCACATATTGGCAGATAATTTTAGAAGCATTTCTGACATTTCTAAACTTGCTTTCATAGTTTTTCACGGCGTACAGGAAATTAAATTATGCGGCGCTGTTGTAGAGCGATTTCATTCACCACTCAGACAGTTCAAAATACACAGGACTAAAATACTGTCTTGACTAAAGTTAGACTCAAAGTTCAGAAAATTAAACACAGGTGTCAAACTTCACAAAAGGGTTGAGAGAATAATAAAAGTGTTGGTGAAGCAGACATCTGTCCTGTGAGGGTTATTTTCTGTCCTCAGCGTCCCTCGCCAAGACCGAGGCTGCTTTCCTGCACACAAAATTGGTAGTGTTGCGAGCGCAGTGCGAGTGTGTGTGCGCGGAGCCCGGCGTCTAATAACAGCATCGTTTTAGGAGTTTTCTGTGCAGAATATTTTGGTCCTGCTTCACATCCACCGACGTGCTGCTGAGAGGGAACACTTCAGGACAGCAGAGCGGCTTTTGTTTCAGCTGCGCTTTGAAGTGTCAGAGCGAGCGGCTAATGGAGAGAACATGTTCCTCTTCTTCTTCTGTCGTCTGAGACCAACACATGCATGTGCACAGAGTTCAGAACACACAACCACAGGGCTCTGCCGGTTATATAATGCAGAGGAGGAGATTTAACTCCCAGTGTTGGAGGGAATCCTGCGGCGAAACAAAGGTCACTGAACTCTGAACACACACACACACACACACACACACACACACACACACACACACACACACAGGGGATTTAGTTTACTAGACAGCGCAAAGTGGAGATCACAGGAAGACATGCAACAATGTCCCGGACGCCTGATGTGAACCAGGGGTGCTGCAATCACAGTCAGCATCTTAAAACCACTTGAGCACCGTGACACCTCGACTGATGATTTAAATTAAATGTTAAATACATGTATAAACCACGTCTGGGTGTTTGCCTTTTTCGATTTTGCAGCACAGCTACACAGAAAAGTCGCTGCTTTGTGATTCTCACCGAGCATGTTGGAGGATTCGATGAGCGTGGTGTCGAGGTCGGTCCAGTAGAGGCGACGCTCTGCGTAGTCGATGGTGAGTCCGTTGGCTCGGCCCACGTCCGCCACCAGAGTGATCCGACCCGACCCGTCCATCGCTGCTCGGTCGATCTTTGGCTTCCCGCCCCACTCGGTCCAGTACATGTACCTGAGGACAGGAAACAAAGTGGTTTCACGTAGGACCGGTTCTCATGCCAGTCTCTGATCTGTCTTCTCTTATTTTTAGTTCCAGTTCTCACCCTTCAGCGGGATCCAGAGCCAGAGCTCGCGGACTGTCCAGATCCTTCCAGACTAGGACCTGCCGGTGCTGCCCGTCCAGTTTGGCCACCTCGATGCGGTTGGTGCCGGTGTCGGCCCAGTACAGGTTCTTCCCCAGCCAGTCCACCGCCATCCCTTCAGGGTAGTCCAGACCGAACTCCACCACGTGCTCCAGAGCGCTGCCGTTCATAAACGCCCGACTGATGGTCTGCAGACGGGAGGAAGAGACAAGACGATGCACAGGTGAGACCCAAAATAAAACTGTGTGAAAGTGTCTCTAAATACTTTCTGACTTTCACTTTTACCATCTCTGTGTCTTATTCCATTTTTATCTTCAGTTCTATTTTCTGATAATTATTTTTACTTAAGTTTTTTTTTAACTTATCAATATTAGTATCTCTCAGTGTACAGTGGTATTTATCAATTTATATTAACTTTTTTTTAAATTAAATTTTTATTAGATGTTTTCGTATGACTATTATCACCTCTCCATTTCATTTTATCTCATTTTTATTTTCATCTCAATTTATTTTATCATTATTTACTTTTTTACTTTATTATACTTATTATTTAGTAATTATTTCTTATTATCTATTTTTTATTATTGCTATCTATCTATGTATTTGTTTAACTTAATATTTTTAATTAATTACATTTTAATTCGATTTTATGTATCACTATAAGATCTCTATTTTATTACATTCTCATTTTTATTTTGATCTTATCTCTTATCTATTATTTTTTATTGACTTATTTTTTCTATTTATTATTTACTTATTTACTACAATTATTATGTATTAAAGTTATTATTAATTTAATTAATTACATTTTTATTAACACTATTATTATCCCTATCAGTCCATGTAGAGGTATTTCACTATGTACATCTATATTTTGTTTTATTTTTAATTATTTCAATTTTAATTAGATTTTATATATGACTATTAACGTCTCTGTTTATTTCATTTTTATCTAATTTTTATTTTCAATTTATCTTCAATCATTATTTTTTATTTATTATTTATTTCCTCACATAATTCTTATTATTTTTTAGTAATTTTTAAATTGTCTTTTTTTTCTTCTTTTTTTATAAATAAACTTGTTCCAACTGAAAACGTAAATCTTTAAAATCACAAATCAACAGTTCCATCTTTGATTTCCTAAACTGCTCACTGTGGTTTTTAATAAAACAAACAGATGTTGGGGACTATTTTTCAACAGCGGATTAATTAACATTTGGTGCTGTCGTGAGTATCTGTGTCAGCAGGATGGCGTGTGTGTGTGTGGGAGTGAAAATAAACTACAGTGTGTGTGTTCACAGCAATAAGGGAACATGTCACCCACACTAAGAGAGCGGCTCATTGATGTGTTAATAAGTTTCTGGACAAAGATGGAGCTCTATGGCACAGAGAGAGAGGAGATACATCAGGCTATGATACAAGAAGAAACACTTTGACTGTGCCCACAAATATTTGTCTGTGGTCCCAATTTTTTAATTTTGCCTCTTAAGAAAAAAATGTAAGGCTCCCTCGTTCTGCACCGACAACGATAAGAAGAAATCTATTACATCTAGGACTAGAATCTGGAGGAGAAAGAGAAGAAGAGGAAGAAATGGAGAGATAAATCAGATAGATAGAGGAGGAAGAGGAGGGGAGCAGCCATCAATTACTTCCACCCTGGCGTCTCCTGGGAGCCCATTACAGCTCTACTCTGCAGGCCTCCAGCCAACCAGCAGGACGTCTGCCCACACATGTCCCCGCTCTCTGAGCCTCACCTTCAGAGTGATGTCGGTCCAGTAGATCCGGTTGTCGGTGACGTCGAAGTCGAGCGCCGAGGCCTCCTTGACGCCGGTGAGCGGGATGGCCACGTTGTTGTTGTTGGTCTCCAGGGAGATGCGGCGGATGTCGGTGTGGCGGGAAAAGAGCAGGAAGGCCTCGGGGACGATGCAGGTCCTCATGTCGGCGATGAGCTCCAGGCCGATGGGACAGCCACACTGGACGCCCTGAGGCTTGTAGAGACACAGGTGACTGCAGCCGCCGTTGTTCTCCGCACACAGGTTTGTACCTGAGGAGGGGGCGGGGCCACAGGTGAGTCAGATACATCATACATGCTTCAATTTTCTGGTGCAGATCAGAGGACTTATGATAAGTTTTTATTTTAATAAATGAACTGATGTGTTTACCGTACTAATGAACCTTCATTAATATAGGCCTATATTTTATCTCCAAGTGCACGTCACACACTGAGCGAGCCGCCGGTTAATGACGCTGTGGGCTAATGGGCATGTAGCTACTTCCATGTTTCATATGATACGTCATGTTTGTAGTCGACCAATGAAGATGAGTTTACATATCACCTTGGGTTCGTCCTTCACCTTCTCAAAATGATCCCACACTTTGGATTTCCTGCTCGACATGTTATTAACTAGCCTGTGGAATAACCGCAGGTACCAGCCCTGGAAATTAACCTGACTCCTGTCTGACTGCTGAGCGTGGACACTTCCTGTGTCTGTCCTTTCAAAGTAAAGTCACACATGCTCCAGTCATATAGGTTTGGATTTATTTTGACAAGGCGTAGCTCCTGATAGAGTTTCACATTTGTTTCTCTTTTTTTTTAACGGAGGGGTCTAATTCCTGGAGTCCAGAGCAGAGAGGAGCGGTAAAACACTGTGTTTGCATCAGCTGAGTTGAAGCCCTGAAATATTAATACTCCGTTATCCATACTTCCCAGTCAGACTGGGCTGCACAGAGTCTACTGACAGTCTGACTGCAGAGCGGGAACACGCCAAACTGTTTTAAACACCTTCAACACTTTTATATCTAACTATAAGGACTAGACTCTGATCAACACACTGATAATCCAGCATCCTGAAGGACCTGCAGCTGGACCTGAAGACCTGTGACTTGGCTCTGTAACGCTATGGTGCTCCTGGACTCACCGAAGGACTTGTGCACATTCGTGGCCTTGAGGCCCATGAGGTCAGGCAGCTGGTCGATGATGACCTCTCTCTCCGCGGTGCGTTTGTGGACGCGCTCGATGCTGCGGCGCTGCCAGTCGGTCCAGTAGATGAAGTCGCCCAGCAGAGTGAAGCCGAAGATGTGGGGGAGGTTGGTCTCCACCAGCACCCGTCGCCCCGTCCCGTCCATGTTCATCACCTGAGAGACAGACAGACAGGACACAGGGTTATTACAGAATGAAATTTAAGAGATTTCAAGTACCTTTTCAAGCACTATTTTTTCATTTTCAAGGACTGTGGTGTTTCCAAGGAATTCCAGAACTTGATTTTTTTTCCCCTTAAAATTCCAGCACTTCAAGGACCTTGTGTGAACCCTGCAGACAGGAGGATGTGACATACTGAGCATGCTCAGAGGAAGCTGCCCTGCTGCACACAGACGAACATCAGACGGAGTCAAACTTCACAAAGGATTTCTGCCACACTTAACAGGAAACAGATTTCCTTAAAAAGTCCTACATCAAAATCTAATTTGAGTCAAAGTACAAAAGTATTAGTATAAGTACAACTACTCATTCTGCAGAGTAATTTTATTTCTGTATTATAATTACTGACGCATTAATGTGTTCACTACATCTGATGACTGTAGTGCAGTAAAGAGTACAGTATTTCCCTTTGAGATGAGATGGGTTAGAGAGATGAGATGAGATGAATAGAAATACTCAAGTAAAGTATTTTGGTAAATATACTTAGTTACTTTCCCTCTTTGATCTCCAGAAGTACAAAGACACAGAACATCTTGCAGTAACAAATCAGCTGAGTCACAAAAGGAAACACATTTTAAATATCATAAACCATAAAGCATGTTTCCCATCATGCCCGGCGTGTGGACGGGTGGGGGCTGGGCAGAGCGACGGAGTTTCCACATTGTGTTTCTCGCTGTGCACACTGAGCGTGCTCAGAAGAGCTCAGGAGACCTGGCAGCACATCGCAGCGCCGCTAATTAGAAGCAACAGCCCGAGCAAACAAACAACGGCAGCATATGGCCGCCACATTTCCTCCTTCTTCCTCCTCTCCTTCTGCTTCTTCTTCTCTCGCACAAACTTTGACATCTCACTTCAACGAGGCGGCGGCAGCATCTCTAAACCCACAACTGAGACCGATCAGGACCCGATCCACAAAACCTGGAACTGAGTATAAACGCGGAGAATAAAAAAACGGATCATTTACGACTGAACGACACTACAAAGTTCTGCTGAACAAAGACACGATAAGAAGCAGAGATTTGAGTGTTTGGGTGAATGTCTGCCATATTTTATTAACCCCTTAAATACCAAAGTAAGAGCTCCATTTACCTGCAGACAGCGGAGGGAAACTAACTAAGCTTCAGGCTGCCTATGTACTTATTTATGTATTTGTAATTAATATATTAGATATTATAAAATGATTATACTGTTCCCAAAACTGGTTCAGTGTTTTCCTGATACGCACCAACTAGTGGCGCTGAATTTTGATTTTATTTTCTTTAAGCGAATAGAAGAGGGCTCCATCTCATCTCTTAAGAAACTAACATTATATTATTTTGCAATATAAACGCTTCATATTCAGATCAATTCACACGGCTTTACATAAAGCATGTAAACACAAAAAATTGGGCTTTGTTGGTTGAAGGTACATTAAGGACTTTATAATGCCACTCACACACAGAAGATCTATACAATCAGCTTCAACATTAGAGTCACCAATTCAGTATCTGACCAAATGTCTCCCCTTCTGTTCCTGAGATATGACGCTGAATAATGACCACAAAAGTGTTTTATGCAGAACATGAAGATGTCACAGTGAGGCTGACCTTTGGCCTTTTGGATATAAAATGTCATCACTTAATCATTTTATCGTGTCAGACATTTGTGTGAAATGTTGTCATAATTAATGAATGAATTCTTCAGTTATGGCCAGAAACATGTTTTGTGGGGACACAGTGACCTTGACCTTTGACTACCAAATTCTAATCAGTTTATTGTTTGTTTGTGCCAAATCTGAGGGATTGTACTTAAGGTCTTCTTGAGATATTGTGCTGACCAGAGTGAGACGGACCAGGTCACAGTAACTTTGACCTTTTACCAACAAAATCTTATCAATTCACCCCTGACTTGTTTGCTTATTGATTTTCTTTAAATGTCTTTGTTCCCAAGTCTTAAATTAGGAAGCAAAGTCTTAAATTAGGCTTTGAATGTATGAATGAACGAATACACGACTCAAAGTGGACGTTTGTGCCAAATTTAAGGGATTTAACTCAAGGCCTTCTTGAGATATTGGGTTCACCAGAATGAAATGGACGAGGTCTAAATGACTTTGACCGCTGACCACCAAAATCTTGAGTTCATCCTCAACTCAAAGTGGACGTTTGTGTCAAACTTGAAGGAATTAACTCAAGGCCTTCTTGAGAAACCCTGTATGATGTCTTGGCAACGCTGATCACTCTTTTAGCGTTATCATTTGCTTCAGGAAAAACAGTCAGCACATTAATGCTGCAGCAAACAATCGTTTGATAGAGATACTCAAGGAAACACATCCTGGAGGCCGGCGCGAACTTGATGTGTCAAAGCGGTCTATCTCAAATACAACTGACAGATTCCCTCACAGACATATATTAACATTACATATAAACTGGATAGGATCACCTTAAAGAAACGTCATAAACGTGAGTTATTTTGTCACTATAAATCTTGAGAAACCTCATATGTAACTTAGACGGACATTTCTCCTGCTCATGACTGAGCACACTGTACTGTATGTACTCAGACCTCAGGAGCCCTTCTGCTGCTGGCAGTCACATAAAAACCTCCCGGCGGGGCGCCCTTTGTGAACGTGCATATAAAATGTTCTGACCTAAGTTTGTCCCCATCTGTGAGAACACAAATGGTGCCTTTCCTGTGTCTTAAACATTTCTTTTGTCCACTCGAATAACTAAACTACAAATACAAAAACCAATACAAGAAACTTCAACTGTCAGAAAAACAAGTCATAAAATAATTAATTTGTATTCTCTGATTTTTTAAAAATTGTCAGCAGAGAGTCTGCAGTGAGGTTCAAACACTTGACTGATAAACCAGAGAAAAACAAAATAAAGTTTCTCCTTCTGTCCTTTAGTTTGCTTTGTCCTGTCATTATAACTGCTTTTGTTCAATGATATATTGTTCCAGAAATAACTGCAATAAATTATTATATTGTCATTTTGAGAGCATTTTATTCCATTGACATCACGATAATATAACAGCATAATAATCCAAACACACCTTTTCAAAGAGCGATGAGCTTTTAATTCACCCAGATATGACAGAAAAACATGTCTCAGCATAGTTTTCATCGGCTTAAGCGCTGCAACCAAGTCTTATAATGGTTGAGAAAACCCTGCTGTTTATTCTGGCATCATGTTGGCTAAAATGTCGGTGACGTCCTTTTCATTGTAGTTTCATCTTATTCAAAGAATACTGTAACTATTTCAGTTATAGTTGATGAAAAGTGTTGATATTTTAGTCTTTTTTAGGTCATCAGAATACACCGACCAGTTCAGTCGATGTAGTCGAGCCAAAACCAATATTTTTGTGCATTTTTAAAATTATTTCACATCAGCTTTTATTTCATTATCTGATGAAAAACAGGTTGGATCACGACCCACAACAGTTTCACGTTGGCACCCTCCACACTTGCCATACTGACCAACTTACTCCAGTGTGTAACTGGCACTTGCGTTTACTGACACACACACACACACTCTTTCTCTCACGCACACACCCAAACTGCATAATCCACAGATTTAAGTTAAGTTTAAGTTTATTTATTTTATTAATCCCCCTGATGGGAAATTCAACGTTTTTTCACTCTTGCTTGTCAATTACACACAGGTCACAGGACCTATACATGCACAAAGTGGAGAGATGTCAGAGTGAGCGGGCTGCCCTTTGGTCAGGCGCCCCAAGCGGTTGGGGCACCTTGGCAGTGCCCAGGAGGTGAACTGGTACCTCTCCAGCCACCAGTCCACGCTCCATATTTGGTCCGGACGGGGACTCGAACAGGCGACCCTCCAATTCCCAACCCAAGTCCCTATGGACTGAGCTACTGCCGCCCCCTAACTAACTCACTAACACTTGTCAACGAAAATAAAGCGAGAGTTAAGTAAAGTTTTAGTCTTGTCTTTTTCGTCGTGCTGATTTGGGCTGTCAGATTTTCACGGTACGATAATGGTCTCAGAAAATATTGCGGTATCGCAGTATTAGAGAATTATAATTATCATAAGTCTAAATGACCTTCAAAAAGTGCAGTTATATTTGGTTAAACAAACTTTTTATTACTAGAACTGAAACTTGAAACCATTTTTTAAATTAAAGTTTGTGTAAAAAGTAAAATTAAGTTGAGACTAAGCGCTGAAACCCTTTTCAAAACCATTTTTTTTAATGGAAGTTTGGGCAAAAACTCTCACTTTTTAATTTCAAATAACTAAAATAAAGTTGAGATCCTTTGTCAAGTTGCATTTTTTTTCCAATATCAGAGATAAGCAAATGTACAGGGTGTTTAATGACGTCAGTGCCTGCTCGTTATCATCTCATCTTAGTCATGGGGGAAAAAAATTTGTATTTAATGGCATTAAGTTTTCGTTAACAAAATTAACACTGCCTTTATGTCACCAATATTTTGTTCAGATGTTACAGAATCTGATACGAATGCCCGGCAATAAAATATGGAGGAAATCCAACAATAATGTCAAATGGTCCTCGCTTGTTTGTTTGTTTGGTTTTACTATTTCAAATCTTAAATATAATTTAAATCGTGCTTGATCACCACGGTTTGAAAAGCTTGCAGTAAATTCTGTTCAGCATCAACCAAAGCTGACGACAGACTCCCAGACACAGGCACTGCGTGGCTTTGTTTAGTGTCAATGAAAACATGACAGAAGGCAGCGAGAGCACACCGGAGATTTTTTAGCATTATTGTTTACAGAGTGTGAAAGAAATTGTGTGTACGTATCAGTACTTAAAAAAAAAAAAATCAGCACATTTTACCATGGTGACTTTGGTCACTATACTTCATATGGTTTCATCTCTGTTTGGTGGTGTGTTCAGAGCTGAGTTATTGAGGCCGGATGGTGAAACTTCTGATGTTGGATCAAGTAACCAAAAGAAAACAGATCCTGCAAAGTTACACTAGATTCAAAACTTTTGTTCAGTCTGAAATAAAAACTAGTTTGGACAAAAATAAGAGGAAAATAATTTCTACCAGGTTTTCTGTGTCTGCCCGTTTGAGACACATGAAGACGTCTCTGATAAGATTATGTGTAAAACATGCCGAGAGACTCGAAGTGTCAACAGAGGAGAAATGTCAGGAATCTACTGAAAGGGAAAAAAACAGTGAGGCCTGTAATCTGCTCGGTCCTTTAACTGATCAACAGTGTGGAGCGACACTATTCGCTGCTCCCAGAACAGCCCCTGCATGGCCGGCTGCCATCTTTCAAAACATCCTCCACACACACACACACACACACACACACACACACACACACACACACACACACACACACGGCCAGAGAGAGAGTGGTGCTGGTGTATAAATATAAAATGAAGTTTCCATCCTCAGCTCGATGGCCTCAGCCAAAAGGTCTCCGCTGGTTTGGGAGTTGTGACCGCAGTGCGGCGACGGTTTCAGATTCGGGGTCTATTCTAAACAGAGCCGACCGCAGCTGGAGTGCAGGCCACAATCGGAACCAGATGTGGGATCCCGCCGCAAAAACCGGGTCCTCCGAGAAACCTGAGGGGAGGGAGGGAGAGAGGCCAGAGGAGGCCCCTCAGCCCCTCTCCCATTGAGCGAGACGAGAACCACCACCACCACCTCCACCTCCGAGGGGCTTGGAAAGGGGTTCAGGTGGGGTCATGCCACCCCCGGAGAGGAAAATAAAAAACGAGAACATGGCGAGATGGCGTGAGGATGGAAACCGCAGAGAGAGAAAAAGAGAAAGTTGTATTTTCAGACCCAACTGGACTGTCGACACTCTTTACAGCACCGACGTTTAACAGGCCACTCCGTCAGCTTTGATGTGGAGACCGACTCATGATGTGGAGAAAGTTTAACAGCCGTCTGAGTGACTGACAGGCTTCAGAGACGTACAACTGGAAATAATCTGTGTTCACACCAGAATATATTTTTTGTTCCTTTTTTCATGTAAATTTAACTAAAATAAATGTGTTTCATATCTGGAAAAAAATAAAGGTTAATGAGAAAAGTCACAATACTGGTATTGGGGATGTCAGCAGAACTCAGACTTTGGTACCAAGTGGATGCCAAAATTCTGAAAATGTGACGGTTATTGTTTTTCTTCAGAAGGTATCAGGGATGCAATTCTTCGGGGCCTGACGTGCCAGCATATACGCCTTCAAGTGTTCTAATCTACGCCAAAGAAAGAAGAACTCCTACCAGCGTGGACGAACAACAACACGTGAAAGATGACGACAAGTGCAGCTGCAGTGACTCATCAAAAAGAAAAGAGGGCAGCACATTTTGTGAATCCTTTGCAATGGGAGTGTTGTGTATCTACACTCTGCTACAGCATGACAAGGTGCTGAGCGTCTATGCTGCACTGAGTGTTACAGTTTGGTGTTTTTTTTCCGGACGTTCAGTGTTGAAAAATGTTAACATTAACTTTCACTTCCGGGGACAAAACTGGCACCTGATACCTTACCTTTCACACTAAGTAATCGTGACAGCCGGGGAACAGCAACTCCCGTTTTGCAAAGTAAACTTACTGTTAATGTGACTGGAGTCTGGTGGCTGTCAGATTACAGCTTCAATTCCACTAAAGAATTAAAATAAGTCCAGCGCTGACAAAAGATTTAAGGGCACTTTTTAATCCCTACACCTGAAAACAAAAGACTCTTCCCGCCTGAATCAACATTTTAGAGACACCTTCCTGCCGACACGAAGATCAGAGCCATCATCATGTGACTGATCGGTGCCGTCACTTTATTCTGAAGGCTGACAGGAAGCATCAGTCTGCCCCTGGCGGCCTCCGGCTCTCTGACCAGCCCGGTGGGAGGCCGTGTTCAGCAGTTAACCGTCACAGCGAGGAGCCGCCGTCAACCAGTGGGAGCTTGGCTTTATGAGAGGCCGAGAACAAGAACTCACAGCGTTCAGCTCCTCTGATCCTCTCAGGTGAACTCACACTGAATCTAAAACTACAACTCCCAGATGAACACACACACATTCACACACAGAATGCAAATAAAACACTGACCTCAATCTTATCCGTCTTGGCGTCTCCCCAGTAGAGTTTGCGTTCTTCGTAGTCGAGGGCGAGGCCGTTGGGCCAGCCCAGAGATGTGTTGACCATCACCTGCCGCTCCATACCATCCAGGTCAGCCCGCTCGATCTTTGGCACCTCGCCCCAGTCGGTCCAGTACATGTAACTGGAAACACAAAGAGAGAGTCATCAGCTCTGGAGCTTTATCTGATGTGTTTGTCTGGTTGATGGTGTGATTAAGAAACCAGTTCTCATCTTTATGTTTCTCACATCAGATCAGTTACACATCAATCAAAATGATGCAGTCAGTCACATGTAAACCTGTTTGTGATACTTCATGTCCAAAGCTTTGTCAGTAAGTGACAAAACAATCTCAACGTCCACTTGCAAAATACTCAGGAAACATGATGAACCTAACGGTCATCTCACATTAGCTGCTCTATTTCAACAACATTAGGCTAAAAGCATGCATGCATACTGAAATTCAACCATGCTGTTCTGTTGGAAGACGCAGTAACTTAAACCAACAGTGAGTAAGAGAAAGTATAAATAATACACTAGGATTCTCAGAAGCACTGTGCTGCAGAAATAAAAGATTCAGCATCGATTCACAAGTGTCAACGATTGCTAGTTAGTGAGAGGAGCACTCCAACAGTCCAAAGTGCGAAAACGCTGGAGTTAACTTGTAATTCATCTTCACGAAATGCAGCGGTTGCAAGCATGTTTTGAGTTAATGTAGAGACACAGCTGCTGCAACCTGTTCTCAAAAGTTGCTCATTACAATACATGCTGCACATGGGCTGAAAGCAGACTGGGGTACACCACCTAAATCTGTATCAATCACAGGATAGGTAAGTAGCTCAAAACTGTAGCAAAGCAAAGCTAATGCTAACCATTACATGTAATGGACTTAGCTTTTTAGTCCGGGAGGTGTAACTCAATAAAAACACAAATATGGGTGATCTACCTGAGTCTGCTGGTTAGCCTATTAGTCAGGATAACTAGCAGAGCACTGAGGTAGTTGATCGTGAGCTTCAAAGTTTTAAATAAAAAAGCTAATGCTAACAGTCTCATGTAAGTGAGTAAAAAATGCTAAAACGATTAGCGCCATATTCGGGGAGGTACAGTTTAATAAAAACACAGAGTTGGGTGGTCTGTCCTGGTTTGCTAGTAAGTCTAGTTAGCTATCCAACTGAGTAGGGTCAATTTTAAAGATTTGGTAGTTTATTTCGTAGCAGCAAAACATCATCACCCAGAGACTAGCATTAGCGAAGTGAAGCAGCAGCAGTAACTTTAACAAACGAGACCAGCTGCAGCATCAAACAACTTTAACCAACTCTGTGGCGGAGATATAACTTTGTGCTCAGCCTGAGAGCCAAGTTAGGGTTAGGGGTTAGGGGCCTGCAAAGCGTCTTGGCTTTCCCCAGAGCTAATGTGCAGCAGAGAGGCTGCTCTCCACTGCTGGAGACGCACTCCACTTCCCCCTCATTTTGTTACTCTCATACAGGCAGGAGACTGTAAGGAGCGCTCAGAATAATTAACGCAAATAAATAAATATGGCTGTGGATCATTTTACCTGTGCTTCATATTGTTTTGCAAGTGAATGGTGTGGCACACAGTACACTGGAGCAAGAGACTGAAAATTGCGCCGCCATTTCTATTCATTCCAGAATCTATATTGAATCAGACACCAAATAACTGTAATCAGATCAAATTGTGAGGTTCCCACAGACTCCCACACGAAACCAGCCAATGTCTGAATGTTCAGTGATCAAATTAGTTGCCAATTAATTTTATGTTGATCTGCTAATTGAAAAGTTGTTGTAATTCTACGTGTGTGGACGGTATGTGGAAACTGATTTAAGACCTCTCCTGTCAACATGAAATGAAACCTTTACATTTAAGAAACTATAAAAAGCAAATATTTTACTTCATAAATGACTTAAAGAAATAATCAATCATCAGTCTCAGACACTCACCCAGCCACTGGGTCCAGGACGATGGCTCTGGGCTCGTCCAGGTCTTCAGAGATCAGGATCTTGCGCATGGTCCCGTTGAGTCGGGTCACCTCGATACGATCAGTCCCCGTGTCGGTCCAGTACAGGTTTCTGGCGATCCAGTCCACAGCAATGCCATCAGGGTGGTTCACCTGAGACGTGACCACAAACTGGGCGTCGCTGCCGTCCAGCAGGGAGCGGCGGATGGCCTTCACGTCATCATCCGTCCAGTAGATGTATCCCTCCACAGGGTCGTAGTCAATGGCGATGGCGTGGCGGATGTCGTCCACCTGCAGGATGATGTCGGTGAAGTCTGGCATGTCCAGAGAGATGCGCCGCAGGTCCGTTCGCCGAGCTAACAGCAGCATCTGAGTGGCACCTGAGGAGCAAGGTTACACAGATTTAAGACAACATGGCGACTGCTTCAAAGGGTCAGTTCACCAATTGACAGAAACATGTCACTCAACTTGAGTTGGATCAAAGCTTGAATCAAAGAGGAGCTTGGATTACAACACAGAGGTAACTTGACGCCATTGCTCCACTATATCTTTATGCTCTGAATGTCGCATACAGAACCTTTAATCAATTAGTTTCATCAGAATAAGTCTTCAAATTTCTTGCCTGAGCAACGGTCATAAACTCAAAATGTGCAGCTCATAGAGAAGCAGAAAGAAAATATTCTGCAGCTTTTAATTCATCGGTTATCAAAATAGTTGCCAATTAACTTTCTGTCAGACCACAAGTTCTGGGCAACATCTGATTGTGGATTTAACTCCCTGAATCCAAATCAGCCGATCAGTTCAAACCAAACTGTTTAATGCTGGACAAAAGCAACAAATTAGCAAAAGCTTTAACATCCAAAAATTAACTTTGCGAGTTATTGTTGGTGAGGAGGGAGGAGGAGGGGGAGGAGGAGGTGGAGGAGGAGATGGAGAGACTTGACTGCAGTCAAACAATAAACTTCAACCCTTCAGGTCAGACTGCGACCACGCTCCACCCAGATACTCCCCGGTTCAAGAAGCAAAGCTGAAATAGTTAAACCCCGGCAGTGAAAGGAGGCATTGTCTGCGGGGGGAACATGTGATCCCGTCCTTCACAAAAGCTTCCCCGCCTTCAGCTCCTCCATCGCTCTGCAGGCGAGGGTTACTGAACCAAAAAAATGTAAATAAAAGAGGCAGAGGAATGGGAGGAGGGGGAACGACCAGGGCTGCCATTCAAACTGCGAGCCTGGCTGGTGATGGAGTGGGGTTACCATGGCAACTGCAGGTCAGCCCAACACCACCTTTAGCTGCTCTGAGCGTACAGAGACGACCGCGGCCACGAGGCGGAGAGAAGTGGAGCAAGAACGTCATCGGGATTTTTAAATTAGAGAAAAAGCTAATGAGGTTTGGTCCCAAACTAAAACAGAGAATCTGCTGGTTTCTCAAAGCACACAAACAAACACACACACACACACACACACACACAAACACACACACACTAACACAGTAATGAATTCAATCTGTCTGCTCGGGCTGAAATCTTGTAAACAGTTACACAAGAGGAGTTTTTTGTGTTTTCTTTCTGAAAATAATAGATAATCTCCAAACTTCTGCGTCTTTCAGTGACGCACTTCAGGAAATATTTGGATGCTTTTCTGTTTCCACTCGAGTGTCTTTGAAGCCAAAGTGCAGATAATGAGACAGAGTTTCCTCTGCTGAGTTTTCACCCAGGTTCACTTTACAATTCCACTTTTTGTGGAATATGCTTCCTGCTGACTCTCTAAACACAGATAATGTACCGTCATAATCAGAAGAAACTGATTTACATTAGTTTTTGTTTTTACAGACGAGGGTGGATGATATTGCCTTGAAATAATAAGCTAATGTTGCAATATCAGGATTTATGGCAGTGAGATAAAGACACAGACGGGTTGATGTTAGCACAAGTCCAGCTGGTCGATATCCAGCTGTTTCGCCACACATCTCAGTCGTTTCCAATACTTTTCCAAACTTGCAAAAACTCCAAAGACATTCAGTTTTTCCATCGCATCATGCTTGTCTCACGGATTTTACGTGCAAAATAACAGCAATCGTATCGGTTCAGTGCCAGTATCAGCAGATACTAAGAGTCGAGGTATTTGACTCTGCATCTGCTGATAAAAAAAAGTTGGATTGGCACATGTGTTACATAAAACTTTGATTTTTCAGTGAAGATGTAATATGTAGAAGTAACCAGATTTGTTTCAGATTCTTGAATAAGTTTCTTACCAAGTTGTGAAGAACTAAAGAAGGCTTTTAGATAAAAAGGGGTGGAATGCCTTTTTTATGAGTACACATTTTAACAAAAAAGCTGATAGACGTCTTCACAAGCTCCAATTTAAAGCCTCAATTAAATTATATTCAAAAGTTTCAGACCCTGAAAATCCTTTAAGCCAACGTCCCGTATTTTTCAACCTGTTTTTCTGTTGACTTTGAATAAAGTGTGTTTTACAATGATAAAAATCACTATTTACTTTAAGGGCCATTTCATAGTCGACACACGCAACGCAAGCGGCGCGAGCAACGCAGTTCCTTTCATAGTAAACACACTGAACGCAAGCGACGCTGGCGACACTTGAAATGCAATACATCGCTCGTGCAATAGGGGGTAGCAGAGTCACCGGTACATTCCGGCTAGCTAGTATTGCTATTTTGGTAGAGTGCAGGGCACTACAGCTGTCATATAAATGGGGGTGTGCCCGTACATAGTGTTGTCATGGTACCAAAATTGGGACCCACAGTACAATACCAGTGAAAGTATCACAGTTCTGAGTAGTATCACGATACCACAACAAAAATGAGGCAGATGTGCCTTTTTGTCATTTATAAAAAGATAAATCACTTTTCTATAATACATCAATGATATTTCAATGGAATAAATTACTTATTGACTTATTCATACTTCAAAAACAGCATCAATAAGTGATCAACATAGGGGGGATCAAAATAAAATAAATAAATAAAATAAAAATCAACCAGCCACCCTCCTCCCCTGACAAGTAAAGAACAGTCCCTTCATAAGTAAAGAACAGTCCCTTCATAAGTAAAGAACAGTCCCTTCAGTGCGGTGAGGTTTGTGGAGCGTTACCTGCCACAAAGAGAGAAATGTGAACGGCTTGTTTCTCCTCTGACACGTCACATACCTGTGTGCCGCCACGACTCGGCTGTTCAGGTTCTTCTGGGCAGTCCTGACGCCAACAAAGAGGATATTATTGGACCTGCAGCCGGACTTCTTGGTCGCCAGTAAACCGTTATCTTGCGGTGGCCATAGTGTTCCACCGTATTCCTGTCTGTGACCCCCTTTCAACCCACAACCGGCGGGATTCTCCTTTCGCTTCTGCTGCTGGTTGAAATCTGTACTCACACAGCATGCTCCTGAATGATTTCTTTTGCTCGCACAAAACTATTTTTAGTCGCAAATGCGAGTAAAATGCTCGCACTGTAGAGCTCTGTGGAAAACAAATCTAACCCACAAGTAAAAATAAATAAATAATAACTTTCACTGCTCAAAGATACTCAATAGCTCAGCTAATACCTGAAATGTCACTGGATACAAACCACTGCAGCAGCAGCGTTATTGGACGGCGCATGGACACTCATGAGGTACTCCAACATTATGAAATCATATGTACCGTGGTGTTTAAGTACCGTGGTCTACCGTTGGTACCAGTATACCGTGCAACACTACCCGTATGAGTTTGTAAAGTTTTTCCTCCTCGCCCGACCTATTTCATACCTGCTTCTTCTGTGAATAACACAAAATGGTTCATTTGAAGTACATCGCTTGCATTATCACCCCGGATGGTAATGCATGGTACTACACGCGTTGCGTATCAAAAAAAATGGACAACACATTTTCAGACGCATCATAGCGGCCAATGCGTCCCAATGCGTTCGCATCTGCGTGCCTTTGCGTCGACTATGAAACGGCCCTAAGTCTGGTGGGTTTGTCGATGATGATTTCGGGGCTGTTTCTGGTTAAACAATAACAATCTTACTGTTTAACGAAAATGTCTATCTCTGTAGGGATCCTGTCCATAATGTTGTCAGACACAAACAAACACTTTTGGTGGATGTACAGTAAACTGACAATGTGAACATGCCCAGACAAGAAACAAGAAAAATAACTTCAACCATCAAAGTAGTTTCACGTTAATTTTCTGTCATCAACTAACTGGTTCATGGACAAACTAATACGACAGCTTATGGGCCCTTTCCCGATGCAATGTCCTTATAGTTAACTGACGCAAAACTTTTCATATGTGCAGGTGTGTGTCCATTGAAGGTATGATGATGATGATGATGATGATGTGCGTCCTCACCGTCTCTGCAGGTCTTCCCGTCCTCCAGCAGCTGGACTCCTGTGGGACATGCACACTGAAAGAAGGGCTTCAGCGGAGAGAGGAGACAGAGGTGGGAACATCCTCCGTTCTTCACCGAGCACGGACTGCTCGCTACTGTTGACACAGAGAGGACACACGTTACAGTTTACCAGAGATTAAATAAAGACTCATTGTTCACTCCAAACCTGCTGTCTTTACATCTTTTAATCTGAAATCTTCATCAAACCCTCAATTAACTAATAATCTCAGCACAATTGACTTAAAGGGTACCTTCTGTTTTAACCTGGACACTATCTTCCAACACTCGTGTCAAAGCTGTTTCTAGTTAAAACAAAAAGGATCTTATTACCTTTAACTAAAGCTCTATCTCTGTAGGGATCCTTTCCATAATGTTGTCAGACACGTAGAATAACAAGCTGAGCCTGTCAGTGACAAAAACAAGCACACACTGATGGAGCAAACAACCCTTGAGTGGTTACGCTGCTGCTGCCAGCTGCAACACTCTCCCTACTAACAAACTGTTCCCATCAGTCACTTGGACACAAAAACATGGGAAAATACAGTCCGGGCTGAAAAATACTGAATTTACCCTTTTAAGTGCACTGAAGACAAACATGTTTTATTTTTAAGACAGAAACAAAACATATTCCCTCTCAGGAAGTTGAACTCCGGTCAGTTTTGTGCCAAGAACAATATTTCTCCATGAGACTGAACTCTGATAATTTAAAAGCATCTACATGTTTGGTAAACATCAAGGTGGAGCCCACGGAGCTGTTTGATATTCTCGGTCTGACTCTTCAGGACTCTGAGAGGACATTTGGACTCACAGATGTTTTGTCTCTTGGCGCTGAAGACGTGGATGTCCATTGGTGAAAAGATGTCGGAGTGGACGATGCGTTGCTCGGCTCCGGTCTCTTTCCTGCAGGAGTGGATGGAGTGGGTGTTCCAGTCAGTCCAGAACAGTGTGTCCTCGTACAGGGTGAGGGCGAACGGGTGAGGCAGCTCCCCTTTAACCACAACCTCCCTGAAAACACATCAGACAGAGGTCAGATTAACTAAGTCACGTACTTACAGTAGTAAATGAACGCGATAGAGGACATGTTGGTGGTGTTGTGTACCTGGAGGATCCGTCCAGGTTGGATCGGTGGATAAAGTTGTGTTTGGCGTCGGCCCAGTACAGTTTCTCCTGGCTGTAGTCCAGTGTCAGACCGTTGGGCCAGTAGATCTCTTTATTGATGATCATGGAGCGATTCGTCCCGTCCATCCCCGCCCGCTCAATCTTTGGGATCTCACCCCAGTCTGTCCAGTACATGTACCTGAGGGGGGGCAGGGACACACACAAGGTCAGTACATCTACTCATGAACAAAAGACTCGAAATGCAGACATTAATGGCGTCCTCCTCAGCTGAGCTGTAACATTAGCTAGCTCAGTAGTGCTAGGTGAGCTAGCAGTAGATGTTTCCATCTGTGCGGTGATTCGGTTTGAGGGTGTAGTTCAGTAGAAAGAAAATAGTTCCTGATATAAACACTCTGCAGCTTACACCAAAACTATCTAGACTGGTAAACAGCACTACAGGGAAGAGGATTAATATGTTGTTTTTTGAATTTGGGGTTAACGTTAAACATTTCAGGTAGATAAACCAAATTGAAAAAGCATCAGCACGTCTGGTATGTGATCTCATAGAAACTACGGATCAACTGATTATCAGCTGCAAATACGGATGTACGATAATATCGGCACATCATCTGTATCGGCCGATATTGGCTTTAAAATGAACTCGGCCAGCATGCTTTTTCTTATTTTGCACAATTATTGAATATTACATACATCAAAAGGTATTGTGTTTCATGTCCCCATCTGCTAGTGGGCCATCATGATAAGAGTGTGCATGCATAACATGATGTTAACTCCATCACATAGCAGAGACGACGTGATCACTGAAGTTAGTTGGGAAAAAAGTGGATATTTCCATATCAGTGTTGGTTACCGACCAAATAAGTTGTTACAAGTCGGCAAAAAAATCCCATATTATGTATCCCTAGCCACAATATTTAGTATTTATACAATTATCAGGGTTGTGTTTCTGGGGTTCGGGTGGCAGGTCAGTGTAAGCGCTATGTATAGGTTATTCATATATTACAGAAACACTGCAGGAAATAGTCCACCTTCCACCTTCTCTTCACCTCTCAATGTCACACTCTCTCAAACAGATTCACACACTTTGGTGCTCAGTCCATGTCTCTGTCCCAAATTCAGTCCTCAGTCATGACTACTGTGCTACTATAATAAAGTCAGTGGTGTGCTGGTCAGGTTAAGGTGGTTGATTAACACATGTTCTTGTGGGTTGGTCTCTCTCTCTCTCTCTCTCTCTCTCTCTCTCTCTCTCTCTCTCTGAACGACTGCATTAAATAAAGGGTCTAAAAACTAATAGGCCTATGGCAGTATTACACATACAAACACCAGGGAGGGCAGATTACAAGACATAAAAGAGGGTATAAAAAGAATGGCTTTTAGGATGTTTTTTAAAAACTTTTTTTTACTGCATTTAATTAAACACTGCAAACTGCATCTGCTCAGAATATCTGTTACCTGTCTCCTTGAGCACTAAAAATCAGTATCCACCCTTAAAGAAACCCCCCAAAAATGATTTGTTGTGAGTAGAAACAACACCAAAACAAACCAATCACACAGAGAGTTTGAGTTTTACGAAGCGGCTCCTCAAAAAGCACCTAAAATAAAATAGCTGTTGAGTTTTGAAAACAAAGAGCTCAGTGAGTCTGCAGTCATTTCACAGCAGCTCTGGATCCAGACAGACTGACGGAGGGAGCCGGGTCTCAAGTGGAGGACGTACATTTACTGCTGCTGATGCTGCTGTTGCCAGGCAACCAACCAAGAGAGCAGATGCAGGCCGAGGAGCTGCTGTTTGAGTGTTTACTGCCCCCACAAGAAGGAAACTGATGCTAAATGTATGAACTGAACACACAGGTGTTATTAAATGACAGGTAAACCTCAGCTCATTTATGATAGGTATTGTGGGAGGTGTAAAAAAAAGGCAGATGGCTTACAAAGATACCTTCCCTATTAAATAACAACAACCATACATAAAAGGGAGAAGAGAAAAATGCTCTAAGATGCTATATTAAATATTTATTTCAGCTGTTTTTCCTGAACAAACTGATATAGTTGGTTGTTCCTTTTCTGTTTTATTTGATTTCTACTAGCTGTCTTTTCTTTAGTGATGTACTCTCAGGATTATACTGACTTCTTGTGTTGCATTCTGGGCTTTATCTGCTGGAAAAGTTCATAAATAAACTTGAATTAGAAAAATACTAATGAGAAGAAGCCCTCAAGCAACATGTTGTTGGCTTTATAGACGTAATTACAAACACCTAAACATCATACCTATATAGACAAACTGTCAACCTTTCGTGTCGACTTTTGCTTTAAACACATTTTTGCTATTGTTATGCTGAAAAAGGATTAATTATAGGTTGTAAGGTGCTCGTTTTAGGCCGTTAATTCATGCCAAACTAGTAAACAAGTCTCTACAGACTGAAACTATGAATCAGTATTGTATTTGACGATCCTCCTCCCATTCAGTCTTCTGTTCTGGAACCACGATTCAATTAATTTCTTCGTCAAAAAGAGACACAAAATCAGTTTTATATAAAGTGATTATTATAGTGTGTGCCAGTAAATCCGGAACTCCGTTAGCGCTTTTAGTACTTCCGGTTCTCTCGTCTAAAAGTCAATACGTTTTTTGAATGGGATTTTGGTAAAATGCCTCAAATAAGGTCTGTGATTAACAAAAGCTTAAGCGAGTTTCAGGTTTTGTTCTACGACATAAAACACGTCAGTAAATACCCTACTTGTGAATTTTGAAGCTTTTACGTGTCGTGAAAAAAGGCGGTTGCTAACAAGTTGCTCAATACGACTACAAACCCCGTCGGGGACATTAAACGTCATCACCCCCGAACAGGCGAGAGTGCTGGCAGTCCGCCATTACAGCTTCTTATTTAGCTTAAACAGTCCGATTTCCCCATTATACAATGTTTTTAAAATAAAGCGGACTAAATCAGTTGAAAGCTTAGTGGCGGTGACGTCAAGAGTCATGCGACCGCGGAGTAGTCATGTAGTCCGTTAAAGCCTAATGTTAGCTTTTTACTTCTGGCGATCGCATTTAAGCTTCAAATGCGGTATGAAAGGTGTTCATATGTGAAGATTATCTCGCTGAACAAAACCTGTAAGTATCATAAACTTGTGTTAGCCACAGAGCTTATTTTCTGACATAATCCAAAACGCAATGCAAAAATCACATTCACTTTCTCTTCCGGGAACCAGCGCGATGCTAAACTTCCGGGTTTTGACCTGGCACACTCTATTGTCAACTATGAAATATCTCCCTGTGAAATGAGAGGATTTTGTTTCCTTCTTCAGGAGCAACCACAAATGTCACTTATTCCCTGCTGTCAGTCGTTTCATTGTCTTAGGTTCATTTTTTCTGTTTTATATCAAAATTAACAAGATATTTATCAGTTAATTGAAGAAGCAAATAAGAGAGAAGTCAGTGTTTTTTGAAGCTCTACGTGTAATTCTTCTGTAATTCTCTTTGCATGTCTGATGTTTCATTTTATCTGATTTGCTTTTTTGTATTGAAAAAGATAATAGTTTTGTGTTTATGCCCATTTATGCTGTATTTTTCTGCAAATGTCAGTAAATTGTATTTCAAAGGCTGATGCTGGTGTTGATTTGTTTACTTTCTATCTGCGTTGATCTGAGAGTCACATGACAGACTGATTTGTTTAAACCAGAACTCTGCAGAGTTAAAAAAAAAAAAGCAAACACAGCTGACATGTTTCCTTGTGATTTTACTACAAACTGTTTTTCCAGCACATCAGGATTATAACCTGCTGAGGGGAGGTTTCTGCTGTGCCGCTAATTCTCCTCTTTGTTTGCCTTAATTACCATCACAGCTGGACAGCTACTCTCCCCTCCACCATCCACACCACCATCACTAATCTCCACCCATCCTTCCCCTCCCCCGACACATCAGCTCTCCACAGGAGGCGGACTGAAGAGTAAACTCCAGCGCTGAGGGGGAGCAGAGAGGACGACTTCATGAAGACCTGAACCCTCTCTGAGGTCGAGCTAACAGACACAGAGACCTCGACAGGAGACAACTAACTCAGGAGCAAAAACAAACTGCAACACATCCAAAATAATGAGCAGTAAACCTGTAAAGAGCCGAAATCTGGACCTTAAAGTACTGATTACTTATAATCTGGCCAAATACTTCTTGGTAACACCAGAAATTCCCAAATTTTTGTTTGAGATCTATCAAAATATACCGCTGTAACCCATCACCACGACTGCATCAACCAAACTTCTCCGATGGTTTTATTCCAGCAATATTTCGTGACTTAACAAACGTGATTAACAAATCTACTGTTAAATTTAAAAAACTGCAGCAAAGATCCAAGAAATTAATCAAGTTATGCAACAGAATGATGTTTTTATTTCTTTCCTATGCCATTAACCACCTTCTGACGCCTCACATTTAACTTGTGACTCATCTGTGATTAATGATCATCAATTGATCTAATTTTATCCACTAAAGTTGCTGGTTTTAAGACATTTAACACATCATCCAAGGAAGGAATCAGCAAGATAAGGTGCCAAAACTAACCAAACAAAAACTCCAACTAGGTATTACATGCCTAAATTATATGTACTGGGTTGACTGAACAGAAAATGAATCATTTATCAAACAAAAAAAGCCAAATATTTGCAGTTTTCAGCTTTTTAAATGTGAATATTTACTGTTTCTCTGTTTTATATTGTAGTAAAGAGAAAGTCTTTGGGTTTTGGACAAAACAAGATATTTGATTGTGTGAAATCAGGTTTTAGGAAAGTGTAAAGGCACTTTAACTGAACGACTGATTGATTTATGAAAATAATCACAAGTTGCAGAAAGAGTTTGCCCTACAAATGTCCGAAATTAGTGAAAAATAGACATCGATATTTATTAGAGCTCAAGCTAATATCGTTAAATGTTTTGTTTGGTCCAAAAATCCCCAAATATTCTATTTATGGTGACAGACAACACAGAAAATTGCTGAAAATTTACAGTTTTGCTTGAAAAACGAATTGAAAACTTTAGGCAATAAATTTTATTCTTTTTGTGATTAACCAATCGAGAAATATTTTCCACTTTAAGCCAGTAAAAATGAAATATTCACAGCGTTATCAAGTTAGGAGATGATTGACGGCTGCGCAAAAGACGTGAAAGAGACCAAAGGTATATGTTTTAGGTAT